TGTCATTGTACGTTCTATGTCAAATGTCACATAAATGTCACGTCCTGCGTCAAATGTCACGTCCTACGTCGAATGTCACATCATTTCACGTGACATTTCACGTCCTGCGTCGAATGTCACGTTCTGTGACAAATGTCACGTCCTGCGTCGAATGTCACGTGACATCCAACGCTTTGACACCTCATACGTCAAAATCCAACCAATAGCAACGAAGATACGTTTTAACGCCCATTTGGCAACGCCGCCATCTTTGTTTTTTGTCTCCCTGCCTTCTCCCCGTTCCAACGAGCCCTCGTACGTCACGATCGGACCAATAGAAACGAAGATACCCCATAATGACCTTTTGGCATGCTCCGATGCGCACGGCACATACTGCATTCAACCCTATTTTTCATCCCCTTTCCAACGAGCCCTCGTACGTCATCCTACGTTAAGCCGTTTGGAACTTACGACCGGGGGTTGCGATTTTAGGGGTTGCAATTTAGGGGTTGGTCTCAGATCTGTGTAGTCTATCTACTAACTTCATCTTCACTTGTTGCGGGTGAATTACCTCTAGCAAATCTTTCGGTTTCACCTTTCATTTTTTTCTTCTCTCTATATCTTTTGCTGTTTTTACTTCATTCCTTTTTTTTATTCTTTGCTGTCGTGGTGTCAAGTCTTTTTATAAACTTAACTTGTCCTTCTTCTTTCTTTTTTTTTGTATCGCTCTCGATCTTTTCTTCTTTTTTCTTCAAGTTGCTGCTCTGTTAATTTCATTCTATGTTTCTGAACTCTTTTTCTTACTTCTTCTTTCATCTTTTCGTTACATTTCCTCTTTTTAATTTTTATTTTCGTTGGTGTTCTATTATTCTGCAAGTACTTTTTTTTTTATTTTTGCTTGCGCTGTTTTATCATTATTATTGTCGTGGATATTATTTACTTTTTTTTTTCAGTTCAAGTTTCAATGTTTTTTCGGCTCGACATTACTTTTATTCTGTTCGAACTTGAAATTTACTTGAATTTTCGGCATGGAGACGCTAGTTTGGGCCGAAGAATATCCATTTGAAGTTGAAGGCTTAGTATCTATCTTCTTCAAAAAGTCGGACTTTTTAGGATTTAATTTTTTTCTTCTTTATTTTTTAAATTTAATTCGTAGGAATTTTTTCTATCTTGTGTTAATTTTTCTTTTAAACATTTTAATTTTTCGTTGTCCATCTATAAATAAAAAGAAACTAATCATTTCTGTAACAAAATATCATTTCGGTAACACAATATTACTTTTAAAAATGTTACCGAAATGACGTTACCGAAATGACGAAATCTTACATTTCGTAATTTAGCTCCCTCTAGGAGTAACTTAGATTATTAAAATTTTTGAGGTTATTAAACATGTTCTATTTTTTAAAAAGAAAATACATTATATTGATTATCTGAGGCAAAAACTTCGATGAAAAAGTAGTTACCGAAATGGTCGATAATAAGTATACGCCGAAAAAATCAGTCATTCATTCATTCATTAAAAAAAAACTTTCCATATTACATAAAAACCACTGCCATTAACTCATACATACACTACGCGCGAACATGGAACTCGAAAGAAATAAACAACAAGTTAAGTCGGTATTGTCGATTTCTTCGCATAAAAGTTGTGTTACCGAAATGATGCGAGAGGTCTGGGACATAACTTTCTAATCTACAATATTTTTATTGGTAAGAACTAATTTTTTTTATATATTTAACTAAAAAGTTAAATATTTATTTTCTATAAAAATGACTCTAAAAGGTATATACGTCAAAAAGTGTTACATATATTTGGGTTTAAACTACAAATTGTGACTGTAGGACAGTTACCGAAGTGACAATTTCAAGGTTTGACGATAAATAAAAAATATTTGTAACACTTTTGCAGCCAAACCAAAAAAAATGCTTCTCGAAACAACTCCGTTCTTTTCAATAGTTTTGGATTTACAAAAATATCTAAAACAGAATTCGAAATAAAATAAAAAACCGCATATTGTACATTTATATGAACAATACCCTTATATGCATCAATTTGGTATAATAATAAGAAAAATGTAATCGTGATTATATTGAGGATTTTAGCATTATATTGATTAAATAACCAAAACCATTTTTCATTATTAATAATGTAAATTTTATACAACAATTGTTTAAGTAGAATAATCCAAAATACAAATAGTCAATGCACTTTTTAAGCTACCAAAAAGATTGTATACATGGAAATCTCCGATGATAAAACGAATAGAATAATCCTAAATCAAATTGACTTTGTCCTCATTAGACAAATATTTGGTAATTCTGTACTGTCTGCCAAAACTTACCCTGGAGCAGACATCGGTTAAGACCATATCCCCATAGTAGTCACATTACGAACCAAATTGAAACTAGTTAAAAAACCCACACAAAGTAGAATTGATATTAAGAGATTAAGGGAACCACAAACAAACGAACAAACTGTAAAAACTCTTACTGAAAATCTACGTAATGCCCAAGAACTGAATAAAAGTAGCTATAACATTGATCAGAAATGGGAAAATATAAAAGTAGCAATAATTAAAACAGAAAATGAAAACTTAAAACCAAAGAAAAGAAAACATAAATACTGGATGACTGAAGAAATACTACTATTAATGAATGAAAAAAAAATCATTCAATTGAAACTGATCGATTAATTAAAAAGAGAATAAAAGAAGCTGAGGAAATAATGTTACATGAGCAGTGCCAACAACTAGAAGAAATTGAGAAAAATATGACTTTTTTAACATGCATAAAAGAATTAACTAAGAATTAATTAAGAATATATATGTAGTTGTCAGTTGGATTTATATTCAGTTATGGATTTACCAGAAAATATTCGAGCAAGTGCAATAAAGGCAACAGAACATTTATTGCCGCTTCAATACAGACCATTGTACGACAAAGAGTGCAAAATATTTAATCAATGGAAATTGAAAAATAAAATAGCTGACATAAATGAGACCATAATATTGGCATACTTTCCATAATAATTCCACATTGGAAATCCACATTAATTTATGACGAAAATGCTAATATTTCTCATTTTTAAGGTTAAAAAATGTTAGTTCTATAATATTTACTCAATGTGTTTATGTTAACCGTATCCAAGGTAAAATAAACAAATAATATGCAAGTGAAAAATAAAATTTTATTATTATAAAACTCTTAACCGGACACGTAGTAAGATCTTTATTCCCTTGGTCGTATAATTATTGAATTATAAATTTTTTATCCTTCCCACTATTCAGTATTAAGGTGATCATCGAACTTAGTGTACATGTATTCAATATTTAATTTTTTTTTAAGATATTAAAAAAGTTTTATTCGTTTTTACAATGATTAAAACCGATCGTGTCATAAAACCATTTAATTAATAATCCTTTAACGCCTACGACGTTTTTCCAAATTTGCAGCTCTGATGATGAATATGTTATTAATTTTTTTTATTATAACAGTTCGATTCTTTAAAAAACTTCCATTTACCGTTCTATGGCATAAATTCACCATATTTAATATGTTCGTCATAGTTACTTTTGAATTCTTAGTCAAGCTATGGGTAAACAAAAGATCATTTCACTAATTAGTTAACTTTTTAAACCTTTTCTGTGTTATAACGGGATATTTCAGGAATAACTCCCTGTAACAGCAAAGGCTGTAGCGGGATAAGATGGCCAAAAGCCCTCGCACCGATCAGCACCGAGTATTGTGCTTTCATTAAAGCATACAAAAGCATGACTTCATACAAATTTTTATCTTCCTAGGGCCCATAGAACCTCTTAAATCTAAAAAGATTTAAGAGTCTTTTTTCGACTTTATTTTTTCTTGACGCAATTTTGCTTTAAAAAATCTGAAAAAATTCATGAAGATGTATCTTTTGAATACAAAATAGCCTGATTTTTTTCCAATTTTTAAATTAAAAATTTAGGTCAGGAAAAATTATTGAAGTTTTCAATAATTTTTTAGGTTATGTTAATAATTTTTGGCTAACTTTTAAATAGTAATGTTTATGTAATTTTTGTCGGTCGTTCTTTTAAATGGCCAACGCAAAATTTTCAATTTCTGAGCGGAAAGCATCGAAAAATCAAAAAACCGTTTTTTTTTTATTCATTTATTTGCACATAACCTTAAAACTCAGTTCGTAATTCAACATTTTTTTCTTTCACATTATCACATTCTTTTGTAAAAGTCTCCATTTAACTCTTTCATAAAGATAAAATTCAAAAATACCACATTTTTTATCCTTTTCGCACTTTTCTTACCTTACGTCACAATCAGATAGTTAGATGTATGCTTTTCCATCTATGTTATTGTTAAAATAATCATTTTTAACTTACAAATTCTCAAATTCCGAAAAAATCGTGTTTTTCTAATATTTTCCCACTTTATTGGCTCATAACCTTAAATCTAGTAGCTATATGATCGAATTTCCACGTATTTTTGATAGCATAAAATCTATACAATCAAAATACAAACAGTAAATTGATTCTCAATTTACTGTTTCTATTTTGAGAACGATTTCCGAAGTGGAAATTGAAACGTCAATAAACGTATTTTTATCTTTAATTGTGGCTTATTCCCAGTTAAATAGAAATTAAGCATTTATTAGATTAGAACATTTTTATAATAATATTTTTTTAAATATGTTAGCAGCATTTCTATTAACTGAACTAATTTTATTTGGCGAGTTAACAAAAATTTTTATTTCTTTCTAGTTCAACTTTGTAAGCCAGTGGTTGTTTTATTATATTTCTTCCCTATTGCCATCAATTTATATCTCCATTTGGACATACATCTATCATTTATATAGTACAATATTGTATTCGCGGCGGTTATAGTCATATAGGTACATGAATATTTTATTACTGATAACAAGCTTCGTACAACTATTAATACTTAACTATTAATTGAAGATATTATGGATTTTAGCTAAATCCTTGTATACTTTTTACTTGGTGTGTCATTTTATTTATTTTTTGTTACAGAGAAAGGTCTGGACCACGTGGCAGAAAATATTCTGTCATACTTGGATGCAGACAGTCTCAGAAACGCACGATTAGTTTGTAAGGAATGGTTTAGAGTGATCTCGGAGGGTATGTTATGGAAAAAACTTATTGAAAGAAAAGTCAGGACGGACTCTCTATGGAGAGGATTAGCTGAAAGGCGAAATTGGTAAGTCTAATGAATTATAGATAATTCAGTCTAATCTGCGTACATTTGAAAAAATATACTTTAGACATTACATAAATATCGGATGGTAAGAAAATTTCAATTAGTGCAATAAACCAACAACTAAAACTCTCCAAGAAAGAAGGTTATTCTTACGTTACTTACAAGAATATTTAGGGATTTAATACTGCTAATCGTTTACTACCAAATGAATATACAATTGGTAATGAATATCATATCCTATTATTTATAGCGTTCATTGATTTCAAAAAAGCATTCGATTGTGTAGAAGGGTGGTAATAAATGTATTACAAAACAATTGAATTGACTATATATATACAAATCTTATAAATATATTGTAGAAACTCCTATAAATATGCTGTAGAAACTCCTTAACTGTATCAGTATAAGAGGAATGGAACCAGTTAAATTAAGATAACGAGTTAGACAGGGAGATACTGTGTCTGTAAAATTGTTCATTCAGTTTTTTGAGGATATCTTCGAGACACTGGAAGGTACTAGTTATTGATTCCAGAATTAAGCAAAAATTAGAAAAAAAAAACATAGATTACGATGTATTCTTTTTCCAGTTAACGCTACAGCCCAGATTAAGTATTAATCTCCTGTAATTTCTGCTCAAACATTATCGGTTTTCACGTTTATCAAATTTTGGTCCTTTACCAAAAGATCTTCTATTTTGCGTCTTTATTTCTTGCGTTCTTCTTGGCAATCTGTAACATTTATCCTTAGTACATAACCAGCCCATCGACATCTATGGAGTCTAATGAATCCTGAGATAGGTGTTTCTTTAAACAGTTTGTAAAAGTTCCTGGTTATATGTAGATATCTATGTCCCTTTTTCTTTCTCAAATCATTACAAGGGAATAACAGATGATAATTCAATGTAATGATTAATCTATGAGAACATCCAATGGCCATCTCATTCGTGTGTATTCAGCTACTTTTTAGATGTGTTATCTGACCAAAGTTTGTATGGGGGAAGAAATATCTAAAGTACGGGTGAACAATAAAGTATCCACCAGTTTTGAAATAAAAAACAGCGGACTTAAGCAGGGTAAAGCTCTATCAGAGCTACTTTTTAATCTCCTATTAGAAAAGGTGGTGGAAGCCGTCAAGGTTCCAAGTTTCTGCTAGCGTACGCGGACGACATCGATCCATTGGAAACTCTATCCTATACTTACAATTCATTTTCAATAATGTCGAGGTAGCAACTGGAGAACGGACCGAAGAGACAGAATTAGACAAAATATCACCGTCAACACCTATAACGTCGAAAAAGTTGAACGTTTCGAATATCAAGGAGCAGTAATTACTACAGAGAACGATGTCACTGGAGAACCAATCTGCAAACCTATCTACGTATGTATTGGATAAGCTTATAAAATCTTAATAGCTGTTGGATGTACTGCAACTTCAAACACAGATTTAATCATATCTTGTAATTTTCTGCTCTTCTGCTGCATACATACTGCTGAATTATTCTCTATTCTTCAAGCTACAAACTTACTATCACCAGAATATAAAAAAGTAGCAATATGTACAGACTATTTAGCGTCTATCTACTCTCTCAAAAGTATGTACACGGTACATCCTTTAGTTCAAGCTACTCAAAACTCTTTCGATAATTTAATCTCACTGGGAGTATCTTCAACCATGATCTGGATTCCGTCTCATGTAGGAATTCCTGGTAACGAACTAGCCGACCCCTTTGCAAAACAAGCCGCGTCTTCTAATATCAAGACTGAAAACATACAATTACGTACAGATTTACAGTTGTATTTTAAAAATATCATCCAAATGTCTTGGTAAGATCACTGGGTTAAAACCCCTTCCAAACTTCGTGACATCCATCGCACCGTTAAAAGGCTTGAGTTACTTTCCGTGACACGAAAAAACAAAATCTAAATTCGCCGAGTTAGAATCGGCCATACAAAACTAACTCATAAACATTTAATGACTTCCCAACTGTGGTAATATTCTATTTGTTAAACATATTCTGGTAGACTGTCCCCACTTCAACAACCAATGAAAAAAGAATCTTCTGAGTCGAAACCTACAAAATGTTCTTAGCTCGCCAGATCAATCCCAAAACCTTAATTTCATCTAGGAAACCAAGCTTTACCAGGAAATTTAGAAGAAGAAACGTAGTTTAGAATTTGTTAATTAATAATTGTACCAATATTTAATTATTTCTTTATCGATTGTAATGTTACGGTATATTCTTGTTATCTAATGTAATAAAATTGTACCTGTGTCAGTGACCTACACTGTCGAGACCTTTGCTTAAGGACTAAAAATGAAAATCTACAAATCCATTGTCAGACCTATAACATATTGATGTGACCAAAGCTAATAAAGATAAACACAAACGTTTTTTAAGAAAAATACTTAAAACAATTTTTTGGACATCCTCACGATGCATCTAAAAACCATTATAGAATGAAAACACAGAAATAAAACAAGTAGTGATGATGGTATTGTCACACAGACACTCACATAGACTTATTAATAAAAAACTTGTAAAACTGGTGTGGGCGGAGATTCCTACACGAAAAAGATAAACTGGGCGCCGGGCGTGCGATTTCCACTGGACGAAAAATTGGTGGAAGACTGTGCGTTTTGGGAAAAAAGTTGTACAGTTGTAACGTACAATAAACCTGGTTGGGATCGAAAGAGTCCCAGAAGTTGAGTCCTTCGCCCAATGTTTTAAAAGACACAACAGCGATCGTTGGGAAGTGGTTTAAGATATTTAGACTAGGGATACTTAAACGGTTTATTTAAAACTAAGTCATAACTGAAAGTAGATTAAAAAGAAAATCGAACTAAATAGAAAGGGCGCAAATTATCTTTTCAGTAATTGACTGAGAGACGATAAAAATTAGGATCCCAGATGGTAAATGATTAGTTTGAAAAAATATGAAAAAATAAATATAACAAATAGGTTTAACCTTTTTCTAAACCAATGTAAAGGGAGAGAAAAAGAATCATCACATTTACATTATAGTCTTATTAGAATTATTTTATTAATTATCCAAGAAAAAGGGAGATTCGTTAGAGAAATAAAAATAATGGAACGTGGACATATCTTAAATTACATTATAAAGAAAGATAAATGTCCATATAAAATAGTTTTAAAACATATGTTTTCTATAATAAAACAAAAAAATGAAGATAAATAAAACAGCCAGAATTTCCTTTGGTCATTCTTATATCATGATATGTATGAAGCAAATTTTAACTCGGTAATATAATCTACATACAAATTTAGTATAACAATAAAAAACAATGGTTATTCGTTGATTACCAAATTTCTATACATGCATAAAAAATAATAGTATATTACTTTATGAGGCGGAGAAGCATGACTTTTCTTGACGCGCCCGATATTACGCGCCGAACGAAGTGAGGCGCGTAATAGAGGGCAAGTCAAGAAAAGTCGCTTCTTTGCCGAATAAAGTATACTATTTTTTCTTCAAACGTAGCAATTTTCAACCATAAATAGTACAATTCATACGCTATTTTTACTCGAAATTAACTGTGGCAACTATCAAAATCGTCTAGATGTTAGAAATTAAAATAATTAATTCGTCGGTGGGATTTGCGTCTCCCTGGTTACAGTTGTTTGACAGTTGTTTGCAATTATTAAAAACAGCTTATTGTTATTGCAACCGCAAGCGCAAATTTAATGCGAAAATGGAAAACCTAAACGAAATTTAGTCCGCGGTTAATGATGCAGTAGCACGTTTGGGGCCTCCAAGTCCGATAAGAACGATAATGCTCAAAAAATTTTAAACCCTCATGATTCGCCAACATCGGGAATGATTGCTGAAAGTTGTTCTCGACCATCAGTATCATCAACAATTACCAATGCATATCAAGAGTCGGGAACATTTTTGCACGGTTTCAATTTTGAAAATGCCTCATTAACTAATTGTACTTTTAATATTACTATAAATAAAAATGATGTTTAATTGTTGTTAATGATGTATTGTTGCTTTGTGACATGTTTCATATTGTTGCCATGACAACATTTTTCCCTCCGCCGTAAAGAATTGGGAAAAAAAACTGCTGCCGGCGGAGACATCAAACTTTGACAGGATCAAGTTAGATAAGTAATGTCATCATTATTTGACGTTTGAAGAAAAAAGAATATACCCTATCCCCAAATACACTGATAGATCTTTTTAATACTTCACTGCGACACTGGGTATATTATCGGTTGAAATTTAAAAAATAACAAATGGCTCTGTCATTCATATCCAAGAAAATATTCATCTTAGTTAAGTTTGCTTTAGTAGAAAAACAAAAAGGATAAAAAACTTACATTAATTATACTTTTATCACAAACTATAAGTTAACCGTACTGCACAAATTAATTTTTATTTTTCACCGTTATTCGATAAATCAGACCTTCTTTATGGCTACTACTAACTTTTTAAACAGAAATGCTGTTAGACATTTGCTTCTCGCCTTTATCGGCCGGAGTAGAGCCTCTCTGGAACCACGTTCCTAGATCAAAGTCGTGTTTTGATAATCTCTCCCACTGTTCCCTTTTTATTTTTCTGACTAAATTCGTTTCAGTTCGGACTTACTTATAACATTAACTTACCGTTTGTAAATATTTGTCAAAAGTTTTTTGTGTAACTAGTTCTGTATTCCTGGTGCCATCATAGTCATCTGCTTTACATTTAGTAGAAAAGACTAATTTTTCGTTTTCAACAAAGCTATTTCAGTCAACTGCATGTACCACAATGTGCGTTTATGAATAATTAACAATTCCTTTCTTTTAATGTCAACTAAGTTTGAGTCCAGCGTTAATTGTGCTTACTCGCGTTTCATTTATCGTGTTTCTAATTCCAAACTGTCACAAAATATCTTTTAGGTCTCAGTGTGGAAAGGTCTACCAGGCCAAACCACCCCTCTGAAATCTACAATATCTGGCAATCTACTTGTCCCAGTTAACTGCTTTAATGTTAAAACAG